TGATCTTCTGACTTTTCAAAATGATAACAGTTGGTAGAACTATCTAGACTACCTACCTGCCTAGAATAATGGAAGAATCGTGAGCAGTAGTCTCACAAGGAAATGATTTGAAATCTGTATTCAAAGTCCTTGTGAAGTTCAAACCATTCCCTTGTCACAATTGTCGAGGTTCGAGGAATGCTCCAAGTTTACTGGCCCCAAGAAATACCGTTTTGGGCTATCTCCGGTCAAATCAGCGTGCTTCATAAACTAACATGAAGAGTGCTTCCGAGATTAAGTGGTTAAGACGAAGTGGTAAGATTAGAGTTTGTCTGTGAAAATACAACACATCATCATCACACAGGGTGGGGTCTGGGGAGAAAGTGCCAAGTTAAAAAGGGACAGCATCTCATGAACATTTTCTAGTTTGATAATCTCCTGGATGGAAAAGTTCAGTACTGACGCTCCGGATGGATTTCGCGACTTTGGAGTGGCCTTCGTAGGTAGCTCCTGATGTCCTCGGAAAGCAACTTTGGAGGATGTACATGTGGTTTGCTATGGCTTTGGAAAGCGCGATAAAATGGGGGCTTCTTTTTCGACTTGGAGCATAGAAAGTCGGGAGTACGAAGAAGTGGCTGACTCCCACATTTCACTCTTTTTGAGAAATGAGCGATGCAGGGAACATGTTCTACAGCGGCAGAAGCGACATCAGTTGTCTCGTTTCCAGTAAAGAGAAGGTTACTGCACAATCGCATCGATATGGGGAATTAGTCACATAACTCTACTGACTCTACTGACTGTTATCATTTTGAAAACGGCAGGAGATCACGGCTCAGCGTGTCTTTCACAATCAGCCGGCAGTGCAATGCGGTTCACCACCTCAAGGTGGCAACATTTGCTGCTTGCGATGCTATACACGAGACAACCATGAGGAACCTTGTTCATGGGCCTGCGGATAAAAAAAACACAGTATCATAAAGGAGCTACCAGACCTTCATCTCCGAGATATTTTTATTTTTTTCTTAAGTGTCCACACACCTTTGGTGCAAAGAAACTCTTCCCAGTAATAGAAAAAAGGGAAGCCGTCCACAAGATGCCACGAAGTATACTATGGTTTCCGTACCCGATAAAGTCCTATGTCGCCAAAATCAGAAGTATTCCTGTAGAGTCTAAATTTGGGGCATGGCACACACATACTTTTGTTACGCACGGTGTACTT